CTTTAAATGATGAGCTAGTCTTTTAGAGACCTGCTTTTGAGCTGTTTGTGAACTTCTGATGCTTGAATTAAAGTTTTCTTATCTTCTTGTAAAGATAGTAGAAATGCCTTGCATTCTCCCAAAGCAGAACCAATGTATATTTATAAAATATGGGATTTTAGAGAAAGTAGTTGAGCAGGGTAGAAATTCTAATCCATTTTTAACTTCATAATAAAAGATCCAAAATCTCCTGAGACTAGAATTATCTGATAACATTTTGCTCGCAGTTAGTCCTAAAGCTATCATGATACATTGGGAATGATGTTCTTTGTAGCTAAACTTCAGTCTTAATCAAAGATCAGGTTCACCGCATGCTCTACTTTTACTTTACCTCAGAGACTGAGACCAAGTCCTTGTGTTTCCTTCCCACAGTTCATTCTTTCAAATGAATGCAGAATAATAGCTTAACCTAGATAGCAGGGTGTTAAAGCAGAGTTGGGCAGCAATGCAAGAAACACTCTTCACTTTACAGCTCTGACTCTTTAACATTCTTCCTGTCATGCAGTGAACGTCCACTGACTAACACCGTGTTCTCAAAGGAAAAAGCTTGTTCTCTCTTTCTGCAGAACAAGTATAATTTTAAAGGGCCAAGTTTTATAACTGCTCTTGTCTTTGGAAGTCAGAATATCTGCAAGCTGTGGCTTGCAGAAGTGACCAGTGTGGACAGTCTGACCAGGGATTTTCGAATGGGAACAAAATACTGTGAAGAAATGATGCAATTCACAGCTCGTAGATAGATAAAACCAGAGCTGGTGTGTGCTTGGGCTTAATGGAGAAAGATTAGAATAAATGCCACTATTACTTCTGATGCTGGTTTAAAACAGATATCAAAGTTATTTAGTTTTTATGGTTGTATCTCAAGACTGAGTCTCCTAGGGTGCATACAGGTGTTAGGGGGAGGTTAGATTATATTAAAAATGGCCACCCACTCTAACTTAGTTCACCCAGGTGTAGACCTTACACTTAGATCCCAAGTTAGGTGGATCAAAGTGTGAACTGTGCAGAAGTTCAGGACTGTGAGGTTGATCTAAAAAGGGCTGACCCAATACAAGTTAACCCTACCTTAGAGGCAGGCTGACTTAGATCATGTCTGGTGAAAATGATCTGACTGAACTTCCCAGTACAGCCCCAGGGCTAGGAAAGCCCAGCCGCTGGCCCCAGCCCCAGGGCTGCAC